GCACCCTCCCCCAAACAGCAGGAAACCCTGACTGGAGGGAAGGTGCAGCTGTACATAAACTGAACATTTGAGACAAACGGGTGGAGGTCTGCAGGTGTATTTCCTGTTCTGTTGTCATGCCAACACCTTTCTGGGAGGTTTCTTTGTTCAGATTTCAATAAAGGCCGTTGCAGTATTCTCACACCAGGTGTGTTTTTGTTTTTAGACCAGGTAGGTCTAAAAGGTCTTAGCAGGCCTGAGAGAGTCACACTCTACTTCAGGTACTTCTACTGCAGGTGTCTGCTTTTGGGCTGTGAGTAAATAAGAATTTAATAATTAGTAGTTTCAGTCTTGGAAAAATATGCCATACACCTGAACCTTCCTGCTCTCCTGAGCTCCAGAATCAGTATGACCTGTGTCTGTTTACATCAGAAATAATCAAATGTTTTTTTGTATTTTGAATAAAGACGATGGTTTGAATGACCTCTGATCTCTTTACCTTACGCACCTCACCAAATGATGGAAAACATCAAGGAAAGGAGATAAGGACTTAGAAAAAGAGATGCTCGGCAATGCAGAGGATCCAACAGATTGGTGAACATCACACCTGTTTTACTGATGTGTCTGAATTACAAGCTCCTCGCCTCCCCAGCGTTCATGGCTCTGCGTTCAAGCTGGGGATAAATGAAGGACTGGGGCTCCTTTCCTCGGGGCTTAGAGACTTCAGCTCCTGACAGTCAGTTTGAGAATTTCCTGCAAGAAGCCACTCAGACGCTCCCCTGAGGTCTGAGGACAGGAAGAGCACTTCAGTGAGCTCCAGGATGTGGTCCTGAGCAGGTTCAGGTCTGACTCACGGATTTGTTCCTGCGTGACGGTTTACATCACACCTGTGACGCATTTAAACTGAGCCTTCTGCAGACCAACAGCTCCACATACAGAGAAACTTTTTCCATCTTCTCTGTGCTGTAGCATGAGACCTGGAACGATGCAAACCACCAGCTCACTCACGCCCTCCGATGCCCAATAAAGCTGCTGCACTGCCTTCACGAGTCTGTAGCCAACCTTGGAGCGTCTGTGATGGAGGAGCAAAAAGATTTGCTCTGTTTGACTTTGAAGATTTCTGTGATGAAGGTTTCTATTATTTTAGAAAGCCTCTGCACCCTTCTGAGCCAATTCATCAGGTCGCCACGATGTTGGAGGAAACATTAACCTCATTCCTTCTAACACCTGCTAACCAGAGCGAGAACCCAAACACCTGGCTACCATGCAGCTGTCTGACCAACTGGCACAGGTAAGTGAGGTGACAGTAATAACAGAGACACTGGATGAGCAGTTTTTTTTTTTTTAATTTGTTTACAACAAGGCTACATCACCGATGATGTCATGGTGTCAGTCTCTCCGCCTCATTACCCAGAGTTCACTCTGTTTCACTTTGTGGAAGAACAACTAAAATTCAACCAAAGTTAAAAAGGTCAAAGGTGACGCCAAATCCTCCCGCAGCACGCTGCAGCCAAGAGCATCATGGAAAATCTTTTGGCTCCTTTTATGGCACGGACAAAAAAAA